CGCACTCATGTACCTAGCGAATTGAAATCAGTATCTCCTAGGGAATTTTGTGTTAATCAGTGCGTCGTAAATAATAGACATAAATGGAAAACGAAACGTTCTCGTCAGTGCCTGTCACGTGGTCCGTCACCGAGTAGGGCGACCATGATTTTTTCAGGACAAAACCAGGAATTCGATAATAAAAGTAGGGTGACCAAAAATTTTTCAGGACACAACCTGGAAAGTTGTGCACCGGTTAAAGGGACCACAAATTTTAATTGTGATAGTTTTGTCACCTTTTCGTCTGTAACTTCTTCGCAAAATGGCAACGCGCGACGACCTATTTTAGGTATAGAGATTTTAGGAATCCGAGGTAGGGGTTTAATCGATACCGCAGCCAAGCGAACTGTTGCCCGTTCTTCACTCTACGCCTTACTGCAACAGCATAATCAGTCTTTTGTGTCTAGTTCTATACGTGTTAAGCTTGCCGATGGTTCAATTCAAACGCGACAAATGTTGTCAACGACACTTGATGTAAAGTTATTACCGGGTAAAGTTATTCCCATGGAATTTGTCGTATTTCCGGACGCCCAGGATAAAAGTAGCAGCTGGTTTAGCCATCGACTTCCATACTTCGACATGGCGCTACCAAGGTTCTGAACGAGTTTTTCCATTGGAGTTCGAGTATCCCAGTGACCTCACGCCTTGTTCTGCTGCTGATTTCTTAAGAGAAGACGAGGGAACTATGCTGTGTCCTCCAGAGCGTTAACCGCCTAGCTTCTCTTCTGCAGTGCAACGAGGATGTCTTCAGACCAGGGGAGCCCCAATGCCTTACGCTGAACATTATCAGGATGATAGGAAGTAGCAAACCGACAAAATTCAGTTATCTGGTCCCAGTTACCAAGTAGGTGATCTAGTCCTTCTCTCTACGCACTTGTTAAGTGATGCCGCCAAAGGTAGAACGAAGAAGTTCATGCCTAAGCGTGACGGACCCTACCAGATTAGCAATATCGTTAGTCCTACTACCTATGAGATTACTGATTTGAATTCGCAGGTTTTGGGGAAATTTCATGCTTCTCATTTGAAGCCGTATCGTAATCGAACCGGTCAGGTCTCAGCTCCAGTACAGCCTCGACGCCTGCGTGGACGGCCCCGTCTTGTTGTTTCTGCCGAGCCACTAACGAGGCGTTCTAGTGACTCGGAGGGGGAGGATATAACGGAACGTAATTTCCGAACGTGCGATACCGCCCCCGCCGCCGCCTTACCGCCCGCTGAGACAGACCTCTCTGAGCGTGAAAACACACGCCCTCAGCGCGCGCGACGACGACCAGAAAGATATTGCGAGTCTTAGTGTAACTGTACGATTCTCAACTCATTTTGTATTTTGTTAGTTATTGTGTCGTTTTTTTTATATTAAACCTCATACCAAATCAGTGTAAACATTATTTATATATCATCTTCGCCAACAGCCCGGAACAACGAACTCACGAAAACTCACAAAAGCCCGCCAGTCGGACTTGTAGTGTTAAACTTTTTATTTTATCGGAACTATGTCTATTACTCACCTCAGAAGCTTAAAGTAAAAATACCTTACACTCGATTTTAAAAAATTTCAACTCGAGTTACTAGAGCTAAAATGATTGAACTTGTCTCATTATTTAGTTACAGTACATCACTAGGTTGCATGCACCAAATTCGTGCGAATTGTGAATTTTCAACAGAATACAGAATTTAGTTCATTGTGTTGTGCATCAATAGGAGTTTTTAAGTGAACTGAATTAAAATAAAGTAAACAAGTTTTATAAAAGTAAAGTACCAATTAAAATAAGAAATTTGTTATTTTGTGGTGATAATTATTTTTCTTAATCACCATACAATCTCAACAGTTTGCTGATGTGATAATTCTTGAAATGTCATCGTATATGGCAGGTGTTTTTGATTTAGATTTAGATGTGGATACAGTTACAGTAGCAGATTCAGATGAAGATGATATTATCGATGTCGATGAGGTACATACTCACGTTTGTATATTTGACGGACTCTCAATACTTAACCTAAAACCTTGTTCTAAATTCAATTGACTGTCAAGGATAAAGATTCGTCGCAGTACGTACTTACAGATTATGAGCTGGTGTTGTTTTTGTTCATCTTGAAGAAGTTAAATTATTTGACAATTGTTGCCAAATCTTACACTATCCTATAACGTTTTATTTTAACATAAACAGAGTTTTTGTCGTTGTTTTGAATAGCTTCCTGATTGTTGTATAATATCTATTATTTTTCTGAAAGGTGGACTATGAACCAGAATTACATGTGAACANTACTTACAGTTTATGAGCTGGTGTTGTTTTTGTTCATCTTGAAGAAGTTAAATTATTTGACAATTGTTGCCAAATCTTACACTATCCTATAACGTTTTATTTTAACATAAACAGAGTTTTTGTCGTTGTTTTGAATAGCTTCCTGATTGTTGTATAATATCTATTATTTTTCTGAAAGGTGGACTATGAACCAGAATTACATGTGAACAGTATTGTGGAGTAAGTATTGTATTCACTTAGTATAATTGATCAAAAGACAGATTAATTTAATAAAATGATTTATACCTAACACTAGGGCAGAAGGATCAGAAACGATTCAACTTTGTGAAGATAATGTGAATCCAGGTCAATGTAAACGTCTTGGTCCTCAAGACTTTGAATTACGAAAAGTACTTGGAAAAGGAGGATATGGAAAAGTTTTTCAAGTTCGTAAAATCACAGGGCAAGATGCTGGTGCCCATTTTGCTATGAAAGTTCTTAAAAAAGCTTCCATAGTTCGAAATCAAAAAGATACTGCACATACCAAGGCTGAAAGGAATATATTGGAAGCTGTAAAGGTTAGTGAACATTAAATACAAAAATTTGAAATTAAATTTCAAAATTGTAGTATTCAAGTTGAATTGTGATCTTGATAGTCTACCTCTGTATAAATTCTGGTTAAAGTAATACAATACTGTGAATATCAATAGCATCTATGGGTATTGTAAAGGAAAGCAGGCATATTAAATTCATTCATTTCATTCATAATTCATACACCCCTTTGTCGTATCCCTTTTGTTTTAACCCAACTGCTGTTAAGAGTCAACCTAGCCTATCACAATGGGAAAGCTGCTACCCACTTGAAATTGAATCAGAATCCATCACTGGTTAATGATAGAAATGGACAGATTTGGAATCTACCTCTTCCAACCTACAGTATTCCCTGTCTGATCCCTAATAATTATCCAAAATTGTAAAGTTTACTATATGAAATGTTATGAGATGAATACATTTTAAACAAGAACTGGTGTACTTAACACCTAAACCTGGAATACCTATATACTTGAAAATACTCAACAAAAATACTTACACCAACTGAATCTGAACTCACAGTACAGTAGTCTGGATTACTAATCAGTAGAATAAAAGAAAAATATAAAATACAGCCAAAATATAAGTTCATTAAACTCAACAAAAACTTTTCACAATAAAGTAATTTTTATGTTTGGTACTCTGGCACATAAATAAGTATAACAAATTTGTATAAAAGGCCATAAGTTCTCATTTTATACCAGATTCAGTTATTAAGCTTAGTGGGAATTAAGATATTGTCCACAAATATAAAAAATAATCTGAAACTACATTTTTGATAGATGATAACTATAGATTCAACAGCTTTAAGGCTGAAGATGCTTATACACCTAATGAATATAATCTTACAATGATTATTGTGATTGTGGGGTATTTCAAGATTAAAAATAATCTAGCATTGAATCTGTTAGTTCTGCAGAAGAAACTTGTGCTTTATTAAGCAAATTGTATACATGTATAAGCTACCAATGGAGTGATTCTAATAATAATGATAAAAATATGATATAGTATATAGAAATATGAGATATAGAAGAGTGGGTGTGTAATGGGAGTACCTAACTACATTTCTCTCAGATGCCTACATTATAATGGTTGAGATATTATGGACATAATATTACTTTCACCACTATTATTCTAACTCAGTCATTTCTAAACATAGATTCATTTTCTTTACATTATATTCTTGCTATATTTAATTCAAAATAACAACTTTCAAAAATAATATGTCAAAATTCTAATTAAACTGATACTGTAGAAAAATTGCTCAATCTAAAAGCTCTTCTTATGTGGACCTTGTTTTCAAAATTAGCTTTATTTACATATAAAATTAAATTATCTCTTGTAATATGTACTAAATAGACAATAAATACAAATGTAGGCCAAAAGGGGGCAAGAATCTGGGTTTGGAGCATAAGGGTTATTTTTAACATATTATGTCCAGAAGTAAGATTAGAATTTCTAAGAAAGCACTAAAACCAGCATATACACATTATTGTCGTTTGTGTTTTAACTAGTTGACATCAGGTGTGCAGCGAACAGGACTGCTTGCATAAACCAAAAACTTTACAAAAAAAGAAAGGTATAAAGTGACAGAAATTGATTCTAATCCTGATGAAGTACTCATCATGCGTTAAAATAAAACTTGCCAAAAGTTATAAATCTTGTATAATTAGAGATAAATTTGGCAAAAGTTGCAAAATTTCAAAGTGAAGGATAATTATTATTTCTATGTAACAGAGACTTCAATCTTCACACTTTATCCCCATACGTCCCAATACATAAACACCATTTATTTATTAAATATTATTAAAAAAATTTTTCTTTTGCAGCATCCATTCATAGTAGAACTAGTGTATGCTTTCCAGACCGGTGGAAAGTTGTACTTAATTTTAGAATATTTAAGTGGTGGAGAGCTTTTTATGCACCTTGAAAGGGAGGGGATTTTCCTGGAAGATACAGCCTGGTATGTAATAATATAATACAGATTGGATGTTGAGTGCAAAAGAACTGTTTTGACTCAGTTTCCGCATTTGGAATGTTTAGAATGTAATACTTCAATGACAAATAGTATTCATTTTCTAAGCATGCCAAGCAAACTACTTATCGTTTATGAGCCTATTTTGCGCTTGTGCTAGTAACAGGCGAATTTTAAAAATACAATAAATTTATAATTTGAAACAATTTTTCCATCACCATTTAATTTATGTTGTCATATCAGAAATTACCAGCTGTGGTGGCTGTCTTCAGTTTCAGTTCTGTTACACCTGATATTCATTATGCCATGACTCATGTGTATATACTTATTACTTTTAACAACTTTCAGTTTCTACCTATCAGAGATTATACTGGCCTTAGAACATTTGCATAGCTTAGGAATAATATATCGTGATTTAAAACCTGAAAATGTACTACTCGACGCTCAAGGACATGTCAAATTAACAGATTTTGGATTATGTAAGGAACACATCCAGGAGGGTATTGTAACCCACACATTCTGTGGAACCATCGAATATATGTGAGTTATCTCTAAATTCGAATTTTAAGTACATGTAATATTATCAAACAAAAAAAAAACTACTAACAAACTTTTCAGGGCCCCAGAAATTTTAACTAGAAGTGGCCATGGTAAAGCTGTTGATTGGTGGAGTCTAGGAGCATTGATGTATGATATGCTGATAGGTCAGGTATGTTTGATCAATTTTGTCATAATTTACCAGATAATCATCTTCAGTCATCTTCTTTTTCCAATTCACAGTAAGCTTGTAACACTGCTTGAATGCTGTAAATTTATCATCATTAAGAATTTAATTTGGTGTTTGGTGTTTCTAAAAAAATAATTTTATCAACGCTTCCAATGCACACTTGTTCCATCAACATGCATGCTGAGTCAATGACGTTTTTCAAATCGTTATATCAGTCGGCAAATGTGCATATTTTTTTTTGCGAGACTCGTTTTCTATTCAGTTACCCACATTTGACGGCCTTAATTTTATGTAAAAAAAAAGAACATGAAATGTCAATTCGCTCAAAGTGAGGCATGTCCGAAAATTTAGTTTAAAAAAAACCGTCAGAGATTTTCAAGAGGAAGGTTTGTAGATGCGAAAAAAATACAGTGTCGATGAACTTTAAAAAAAAATATATTTATTCAAAGACTTGAATTGAAGCATTTTCGTAGTGAAAAATGGGAAAAAATCAACTTCTATTCCGAATTATTTAATACACATGTTTATTATTTAATGAACTAAATAAATATATATTTAGTTTATATTTACAATTCTTTTTAAAAAGAAAATATGTATGGAAACTTGATACGGTAAGCGATACATTTTTAGTGTACTGTACGTTGTATAGCGGACTTATTGTTAGTGTTACTTGGGTACATTTCTTATCTGAAGTCCCTAAAGTGATTCTAACTGCAGGTATAACTTTTTCGCCAAATACTTGATCGGTCAATTACGAGAGCGAGCATTTAATGTGCGCCGTCTGCTATTTTCTGCATCTATCATCACTCATTCCTCGTCATGGCTATCAATGGCTTCTTCGGTTATTTCTTCCGCTTAATCTTCATCATCATTAGATCATCATATTTCGTCAACATTTTCGGTGTCCGACTAAGCGAGTAAAACGCGCTCAATAAAATTCGTTCCTCATTAAACGCAAAAAAAACTATTAGCGTTTTCTATCAAAATGCACTTCCCTGTTAAGATAAAACACGATATATCGGACACAAAAAGTGTCTTATTTTTAACGCATTAGTGCACACATGGATCAAAACTACTCAATGTCCTATTCCGGTGGCTGTCCTCGGCATTCGGACATGATACTGAATGATACTGACAAGTTTTATGATAACAATCGGCGAAAGAAAATGTTCCTGGTCAAAACGACCCAGTGTGCACTCAAAGGGCTAATGAAACTGCATTTTATATTCTTAGTTCTAGTCCTAATCAATTTTACACTTCGTCCCGTCATACACGATGTTCTTTAAAAACTACTTGCAAACACAAATCACCATATAGTAGATATATAAAAATATGAAATAGGGCTATGACTTTAATAATTCAATGGTAATTCCGTACACGATGCAATCAATCACTGATTACGTAGCGCGCTATAATATTGTTAAAGTTATTAATATTGGAAACCGGACACATTTGTACAACAACACATACATACTCAAATAAATTATATTCTAAAAAAAAACAATATTTATTGTCTGTTACAATACTATATTACTATAATATAATAAAAAATACAATATGTTGCTATTTTCTTTTTATTAGCTTTGCTGACAAACTTGTGATTAAAACGCAACCGTCGCCCTTGCAATCGCAATGTTAATACATTGTTGACAGGCTACCAACCGTGAGCACGCATGAACACACTTCATAATTTTTTAACCTTCATTTTAGATAATAATATAAAATAGATAAATGCAGATGAATTTCTATGGAAAAATACAAGGATGCATTCCTAACCCAGAAATTAATTTTGATGCACAAAGTCTAATTTAATTAAACTTGACCTTGATATTTGTTGTTAGGCAGTACTTAATGAATTTTTTTCTCGCAGCCACCATACACTGGAGACAATCGTACGAAAACCATAGAAAAAATATTAAAAGGGAAACTTATGTTACCTGCCTACCTCACGCAAGACGCTCGTGATTTAATCAGACGTCTAATGAAGCGTTCAGAGACTCAGCGCCTGGGAGCCGCCGGGGCAGCGGCTGTTCGGGGTCACGCTTTCTTCAAACACGTACATTGGGATGATGTATTTGCTCGAAGATTAGAACCACCAATAAAACCAAGATTAGTAAGTTGTATACCTAATATTTTTCTTCTCTTTTTAAACAGTAAATGCAAGGAAATTGTACATGATGTACAAAATATTTTTAAATAAAATATTGTCTGTATTTGTGTTTATTAATACTCTTAATTTTCCAGACCAGTGAAGATGATGTATCACAATTCGACACAAGATTTACTTTACAAACACCAATTGATTCACCAGATGAATCTACTTTAAGTGAAAGTGCCAACTTAATGTTCCAGGTATTTGCAATAAATATTTGTTTAGCTAGTTCTTTAACAACTGTTTTTCTTTTGCCTAAATGGCACCATGTAAGCTCACTCCGTCAGAACTAGTGTGATCCGTAAATGCGGTCCTCCATCAACGTCAATAAGATTCTTATGCCATTTACACCTCGTCTCCTTGGGTCTCCTTTGCTGATTCCCAAATAGACATACTGGAGCATCCGGCATGGCGTCTCCGAAACATTTTGGATGTTAGGTAATTCGGACAAAAATATTATCCTGGCNAAATGGCACCATGTAAGCTCACTCCGTCAGAACTAGTGTGATCCGTAAATGCGGTCCTCCATCAACGTCAATAAGATTCTTATGCCATTTACACCTCGTCTCCTTGGGTCTCCTTTGCTGATTCCCAAATAGACATACTGGAGCATCCGGCATGGCGTCTCCGAAACATTTTGGATGTTAGGTAATTCGGACAAAAATATTATCCTGGCTCCCGTGCCGACGTGTTGGGGCAGAGAGAACGCCTTCTTTCGAGCCTACGCTTGCATCGCCAAGATGGTGCACTTGATGCCAAGGGTCATGGCTGCTATAACGGTCTTTGCGGCAAGAACATTACTCGGACAGAACTCGGATGACATTAGGATGGTGAAGCAGACGAGTTCACAGTTCATCTGGTGTGTGGTGGCTACCGGTTTCCACACCACAACATGAATATCGGCATCCACTCGTCTCAATTGTGCTGTAATATGGCAGTCTAACCCTTGAAACTGGTATACATGGTTATTTCTCGGCGCAAATCTGAATGATCACTATGCGGGATTACAATTTGCCCTATCAGGATATTAAGTTTTAATTATGTTGGGTTTAGGAAATTATGGTCTTTATTGCTAAACTATTGTTGTGGAGGAACAAGTTAAAGCTACCTAGTCAGGTCATAAATTCTGTCACATGTTTAATGTAAAATAATTGAAACAAGTTTATTCATTATGTAACCATTCATATGCCAAAATGAACTTAACAAAACATAGATTCTTATGACACTAAAGTTTATTCAAAATGACCTCCGTGATTTTGAATACAGGCCTTCAATCTGCGCGGCCAGTCGTCTATCGCAGCACGAACGAGGTCCATGTNATGTACAAAATATTTTTAAATAAAATATTGTCTGTATTTGTGTTTATTAATACTCTTAATTTTCCAGACCAGTGAAGATGATGTATCACAATTCGACACAAGATTTACTTTACAAACACCAATTGATTCACCAGATGAATCTACTTTAAGTGAAAGTGCCAACTTAATGTTCCAGGTATTTGCAATAAATATTTGTTTAGCTAGTTCTTTAACAACTGTTTTTCTTTTGCCTAAATGGCACCATGTAAGCTCACTCCGTCAGAACTAGTGTGATCCGTAAATGCGGTCCTCCATCAACGTCAATAAGATTCTTATGCCATTTACACCTCGTCTCCTTGGGTCTCCTTTGCTGATTCCCAAATAGACATACTGGAGCATCCGGCATGGCGTCTCCGAAACATTTTGGATGTTAGGTAATTCGGACAAAAATATTATCCTGGCCCCCGTGCCGACGTGTTGGTGCAGAGAGAACGCCCTCTTTCGCCCCTACGCCTGCATCGCCAAGATGGTGCACTTGATGCCAAGCGTCATGGCTGCTATAACGGTCTTTGCGGTCATTTGTACGTACACGATTTGATACGTCTTATTTATTTCGGCCGCAATGTACTAGTGCGTCGAGATTTGAATGATTGGGCGGTCGTTATTTCAATGAATTAGATACTAGGCTCGTGTCTCAAGGTGTGTAGTGACATTCACGCGAACTTAGTGAAGATATTAATGAGAGTTAGAGTTAGAGTGCCGGGATATAGGGTGGGGTGCTTATTGCCAGCGAGTAGGTAGACTTAGTCGCTTCTGACCTCAAACTCGGGTCACGGCTGCATTCAATTCGCGTACCAACTGTGCAAACCCTTAATGATCCCAAGTCTAGTTGTCACTATCTTTTTTTTTTATTGCTTAGATGGATGGACGAGCTCATCGCCTACCTGGTGTTGGGTGGTTAACAGAGTCCATAGACATCTACAACGTAAATGCCGCCATCCATCTTGAAACATGAGTTCTAAGGTCTCACTTATAACACTAAAACGGCTGCCCCGCCCTTCGAACCGAAACGCATTACTGCTTCACGGCAGAAACAGGCAGCGTGGTGATATCTACCCGTGCGGACTCCCAAGACGTCCTACCACCAGTATATCTTTGTGATTTATGCGGAATGTGTAATGTTCCAGGGATTCACATACGTGGCGCCGTCTGTTATGGACGAGATCCACAAGCCCAGAGTTATAACGGCTCGTTCTCCTCGTCGTCCGAGACCGCATCATAACTTTACTATCCCGCCCGCCGCCGCTGCCCACAATCACACTCACGCTCAACAAGAGGACCTCATGGAAGTTCAAGGTTTACCTATATAGTAAGTAAAATATAGAAAAAAAAACTTAGGTACTGTTGTATTAATTTAAGGTGTTCTGTATCCCATATGAGAATTAAATGCGGGTAACAACTCGCCTATTCACATTTGCCTTATATACAGCTTGTAAAACTTTATATTAGAGAGAAAATAAAACTATAATATATGTAACGGCGACTGCATGAAGAATTATTAAAACGGTATAATTAGATAATCCATAGTTAAGTATTTTCCTGAACTGATATTTTAACTAAAGTCTCATTGTGATATGGAACACATGTTGTGCTACAATAAAGTAATATATTTTAGCTAATCGTTGAGAAATTAATATTTCTCATTATTCTTGAATTAAGGTGAGTGTCCCTCTTGATGATTAAGCTTTCCTTTGAAATTAATTGTGTAAGTATGTATACCATCGATCGTATAAAGTTTATTTCATTAAAGACATCTTAACTCCTAGTAACAGGGACGTTAAATTAATATTGTGTTTCGTTTAAAATATTACCAAAATGTAAAGGTGAAAGTACTTTTTAATCGCTCAAAAATGGTTAAATGAAAATCCTTTCAAATTCGGTGGCGAGGGTAGTTTTATAATCACGAAAAAACTATTCACAACGCTGTATGATGTCGACACACGTGATAACGTCACCGCCATAAGAACTGCGTGCGTGCGAGAAAGATCTTGAAAATATTGTTGGTTTCATCATTTTACGACAAATTTTCATGCAATTAAAAAAAAACTTCACTTTATTGATATTGTTTTTATTCATGTCGTTTCGTGTAAAACAACGAACAAAATGAAACATCCATTTTATTATTGCTTGGAAGTATTTTATAGACGCAGTCTCTTTGTTAAAGATATGAATGATAAGTGAATTGTCACAAAATCCAGAGTACCTATTATTGTACTGACATTAAACTGTTTATTTTACAGCAATAAATATTCGAAATTGAAATGAATATAATTAACACATCAAGAGGTAGATACTAAAATAAAACATTTAGATGAATTAATTATTTAATAAGAACGAGTGCTGCCGAATCGGTCAATATCGAAGATTATATTTTATTGACATCAAATATTGTTTGTGAACGAGTTGTAAACCTTAATATTGTAAAATAAATTATTTATATGTTTAATTATAAAAAAAAATCTTTCGCATACTAAATAATTATTTCTATCTCACCAAAATCGCCACTGTATTTCACTTAATTTTGCTTGTTAAATTCATGTGATGAATCCTAAGCAATCTTTAGTTCATACAGGAGTTAGTTTACACATCACACCAATTACCATTTTCCCGTCTATGTTAGATTTTATCATCATTATAAGTTTGTTTACTGCCAAGTTTAATTTTTTTATTTAACTTATGAATTTCATATCAACCATGTTATCAATTCAATATGCGTGCAAATTATTTTTACACTTTAAAAGGCCTTTAACAGGGTGAAGAAAACCTACCGCGTTTTCGTAATTTCTAAATATAGCAGCGGTGGATCGTTTTTCAATTATCTGATTACGTAGATATTTTCCAGTCAGCAGAGTAGCCTTTATTATTCGTTGAAATTGTTTTGAGCGCTGCCAAAATAGTATAAACCATCGAATATAAAAACAGATTATTTTCGTCCAGTGGAATGAATGCTTGACTCTGAAGCTGTGGACTATTTATTATTTAAGCGTTTTTGAAGATGCAGGCTGATTATAAAACCCTGGAACCTTTCTCGCTCAAGATGCACTGAGATTTGGTTTCACTAAATCATTTAGGTTAATAAAATCCCGAAAAATATCTATAGCAAATACATAAACACATACTTTATTTTGTGATAAAGTTTTGATTAAGGAAAGGTTGTAAGCGTACTCGAAAAAAATGTCTTAGATTACCCGCCTTAGCTAAGAAACTATTATTAGCGTGCCCTTTATGACAATTACTTTTTTACTTGACTATGGGGCTATTGAAGCTATGCGCGAACGGTTAGATTGGCTCACGGTCTCAACCTGAGTACTAGCCCTAGCAAGAGCATTGCTTCACAGAATCTACTACCGGATCGGAATCGCGACCCAATGAGAAGATCCGGCGAGAAACTCAGTAGGTTATGTCTATGGATTCATTCGCTTGTCGAACTCTTCGTCGAACACACAGAACACCTCACTACTTCGCGGCAGAAAAATTCCAGTCCGCTCGCAATTATAATAGCAATTATTAATAATTGTAATGCGTAAGTGGCTATTATTGATCAATAAGTGCTTGAAAATTGTTTTAAGTTCTAATTTTCACAGATTATTTAATAAAGAGTATATACTTTTGGAAGTGTGGCGATTCGTGAAATGCTAAAACTAACATTCCCGATTAAAAAACGCGTTTCCTTTTAGTAATGCAGTGTAACACAGTAAGTTTCACCTGTCGCTACCTCGCTTGCTGTCCTGCGAGGCGGTCAACAACGGCATTCACTTATGACACTAAGTGAATCCCGTTGTTAACACTTAAGTTAGTGTTCAGTTATTGAACCCCTAAGTTTTAGTGCTTGTTCATTGCGGATTTAGGAATCATTAACGCGCGGCTTAGTAAATAAACGTTATTTTTAGTTTACTTTATGATCGTGTATCGTCTACTGCGTTCGGATTCGGGAACGAATTCATTAACCGCGATTTTATTGAAAGATTAAAAATTGTTCTTTAAAAAATCAAATAGGTACCTACCATCTGAGATTTAAAAGTATTCTTCATTTCGTTAATGTCATGGACATTGACATCCAAGGGATTAATAAGCTAAACGGCGGGTTACATTTTAGAGCAACGCAAAATTCGGATTATTTTTCAAGAAATAGCATTATTGAATTACCGTAATATGTCTGATAAAGAAAAAAAACCTTTTCATTATTGTTGCTGTGTGAAGTAGCAGTTTTGTTAACTGAAGTGTTTGGTAGATTTAAGAGAACATTGATATATCGTTATAGGTTAGTGTGAGAGTAAACAATAAAATTATTGAACATCTTTTATGTATATTTTATTCAATCATAAATTTACATAAAAATGTAAACGAAGCTTATTAAAGACATAATCAAATAAGACCTTTGCGTCTTGTTGTTAGAGTACATACGTTATAATAATATCAACGTCATTGGCTACTAGTTTGTAAATGTAAAAGAAATTGTAGGGCGCGTTGCGAGCGACCAAAAGAGGATAATATCTTCCAGCCTTCTACTGCAAAGTACCAACGGTTCCCGTGTGAAAGTAAAGATCAGCTTCATTCCAGGGTTATTGTGGCTTCAACCTCATGACTCGAGATTGGCAGCCAGGTTCGGATTGTGCTGCTTGTGGTTTGCTGTATCCGTTGAAAGCCAGATTGGTAACTCGTCTATTCATTACCCTAAATCCAAATGATTTTAATGTAAATTACGAAATTATCACTGACCGATATGTACACTTAGTTATAATTCCAAAATGTGTCCGTGGTATAATTCCATCAGAAGTGTAAGCCTCTTACTAATTGCTATTTATTTTTGCCTAGATTTTAATAATAGTTTCCAGTCGTTATTTAAATACGAAATATATTATTATACCAGTATAAATACTAAGAATGTATGTGGTAAAATTTATAATCAATATACCTACGTACCTAACTATGTACGATTTCGTTTTATTATAAACAAGTTACCGGATGATATTTATAATAATTTGATAGCAGTGAAATGTTCTAACCCCCGTAATATTATTATGAAAAGAAATAAAATATTAACTTGTTACCATGCTTCATGATTGAAATAAAAGGTCTTTTTTATTTTGTAAATGTAGTTTTATTGAGCATTTATTAGTTTTCCCACAACATGTTTTTTCTTACGTATAAATACGGTAATGTGAATAACGCTAAGAACTTCGATGTCAAGCACGGCTTAACAAATCAGGCCCTCCCCTTGATTTTGGTTCATGAGATTGGTGTTGCTTAGTTTTTTTACTCAATTTGGATTTGTTAAAAGACTCACCAAGCACAATTGTATTGATTGAGAATTGTATTACAGTTTTGAATGATAGTCACAGCCTCCTTACAATGCCTTACAATGAATGTATCGCCCTCGATCCGTTTATATTCCACCTTATAAGTTCCTTCTGAAAGCATGATACTTTTTATAGATGCCTTCACTACAAACCTACCAGATGGAACTGTTTTACCACTGCAGCAAAAAGCTTTCTTCAGACTGCCCTGTGGCTTTAGGGAGCTTTTAGCCCTTTCACTACTATCGGCGACTATATTCACTCGCCACAAAACGCCACCTGTACACGATGGGTGACTATAGTCATCGGCCGAAAAATTCTAAATACACTTTCAGCACGGAGCACGTTACCTACAAAACAGTGCAACAAGACCTGCCGTAGCGAAAGGGTTAAGAGTCAAAAATGCATCTACTTACCTCACCAAATCAAATCAAGTTCTGATGTTCGAGCTTTGCAGCATGATGCAAAGCCCCACATCTGTAAAGTCTAAGATAGAGTAGGGTGGTTTCTTAGGATTATGGCCGCGGCATACATGACGGATTTTTATACGAATGAGACGAGACGGGAAGTTTTGCAAACATCGTTTCATACAAAACGTATACGATAGAGCATATTTCACGGAGACAGGACGGGACAGGAACGTGGCACTCACGGGACGTACCCTGTCCCGTCCATGTTTCCGCTACGTATGCACAGTCACTCCGTTCGTTCCGGAGAGAGAACTAGTGACGTCTTGATGATGATATTTTCCTGTAAAGAAAAACTTTTGGCATTCGAAAATACTGATAAAATTGAGTCTCATCATCCAGAAGTTCTTTGTAGGTAGTGCGGTATTCTCCTCCTTTTTCTCTATTCTGAAATACAGAAAATCTCCTTTTCTTGTTCACGGTCATAGCTACCTCGTCATCTAGAGCATTAGTAATTAAAGCCAAAAAATTGAAATGAAAAATCCATCATTCCTTGTTCACAACACTAGCACATTAGACCCGAGTCACTGTAGCATTGTGTATGCATTTACATCACTTTCCCGTCCCATTCACATCCCGTCTGAGGTTATATCTCATTATGTACGCAGCAGCCTTTAGTGCCCATCATGCTATCTACTAGAGGTGGTTTTCATTATATTCCCTTCAGGTCAAACTGTATCATTCGAGTGGCATGCGCAATGTCCTCCTCATGTCTACTAGCCAAACTGCATTTGAACAAACTATAAGAAGAGCAGGTATCATTACAGGTTCAGGCAGGCTTCATAAAGGATATAAATGACAAAAGCACTATTAACAATTTAAATTTTTAATCTACAAAATATATGTCATTTCATTACATGTTTCACAGATTAAATATATATGGCAATCACTGGTATCCTTTATTACAGTGAATTGTGGATCCGATATACAAACAGAGTTATGTTTATCCAAGCATTTGAAGATATGTTCTTTGACTTCTGATGTTTGCATTGATGTCTTTATTTGAACGTTGCAACTGGGACATTTTAAACAAGAATTAACTGACATAAAATTGTCTCTTTGACAAATTGGACAAACAATTACATTATCTTGCTCAATTTTGGACCAGTCAATGTTGTCGTCCATATGTGTTTTTTGGTATTCCTCCAACAACCTAAATTATAAGACAGTTATTAGAAAAACTGTATAAATATTAAAGTTGCTTTGTAATAATAATCTTAATATAAAATATGCAAATAATTTAGTTCATATTCAGCAGTTTTGTTTACTATCACAAGACCTTAAGATAAAATGATCACATTTGTTTAACTTACCACTCCAACTCTTCCTGAATAAGTTCATTTTTTATTTCCTGTAAAATATTGTCTTCAATTTCTAAAATATCCTCTGAGAAATCTATCATTTCCTTATATAGTTCCTTTAATACATTACACATATTATCCTTTTCAAAAGTTAATTCGCGAAATTTATCTTGCAGCGTTCCACGGCATTTTTGTACCTTGTTTCTATAGTTCTGTAAGTAAAGTAGTTATAATGTAAAACAGAAATTTCGAAAAGATTTGAAGGAAGAAGGCTTCAATTTAATCTTCAAAATGAGGACACTTCAGTTTGAGCTTTCTTCCGATTTCAATAAATTGATAAATTTTTTTATGAAACTGAAAAACAATAAAAAAAATTACTACATACATACTATGAACGGCAGGTATAATGTTGACAATTTTTATTATCCTTTCAAGTGCCTACCTGCCTATAACTTTGGTGCATTTAATATGGCTCTAACCACTAACGTACCTTGCGGAGCCTCTCTTTTATTTGTACAGGCGACTGCTTAGCATTAGATGAAATATTTTTAAATTTAGGTGAAGAGACTTTGTCTAACGAACACATTTTAAAAATAAAATGAGACAGTGAGAAATGTTGCGATTCACTAGAAGTACGGTACTTATCAGTTCAAAATAACAAACAATTTTTATTTATGAGCAAGTTTGAAACTTCACCAACTTCAATTCTCAAATATATTATGTGTATAATCTATGACTTCAATGATATAGCGCCAAAATTGTCAAAAATTTTGCTTTTCCACATGGACAAGCAAAAGGAACACAACATTTTGGATGAATTTTAATAAAATGGATTTAATAGTTTGTGATTTGTACAAATTTTTTATTTTTTTATTGCCGTTGTAAGCAGATGAGCATACGGCCCACCTGATGGTGAGTGGTTACCGTCGCCCATGGACTTCAGCAGTGCCACGAGCAGAGCCAAGCCGCTGCCTCTCCACAAGCCAATTTTTTTTATTTTTTTATTGCTTAGATTTTAGATGGATGGTCGAGCTCACAGCCCACCTGGTGTTAAGTGGTTACTGGAGCCCACGGACATCTAGAACGTAAATGCGCCACCCACCTTGAGATATAAGTTCCAAGATCTTAGTATAGTTACAACGGCTGTCCCACCCTTCAAACCGAAACGCATTACTGCTTCACGGCAGAAATAGGCAGGGCGGTGGTACCCACCCGCGCGGACTCACAAGAGGTCCTACCACCAGTAAAAAGTTTGAAAAAGGACATGTCATTGCGATCGGGAAACACCGTGGAAGGGAGCTCACTTCAAAGCCGGACGGCACGTGACAAAAATGATGTCTGGAAACGCACTGTGGATGAACGCAGTAGCTCCAGGTAGTATGGATGAACTCTATTCCGGTGGCGGGCGGTCCGATAGTGGAAACGAGATGATGGAATCATCTCACACAATTCCTCAGAGCACTCCCAATGGTACATACAGTACAAAACACAGAGAGAAGCGAAGTCCCTACGCAGACCCAAAGATTCCAAACGATCCTTGAGAATGGGATTATCGACAATTTGAACGGCCCTCTTATGTATGGAGCCAAATGGAAGTTGCTGGTATTTGGGAGCCCCGGCCCAGAGATTGGAGCAGTACTCCACGCGAGGCCAGACTTGTGCTTTATAAAGTAAAAGCTTTTGTCCAGGTGTTCGCTCTGTTGAGGACTGCCAGCATTTTGGACACCAACTTAGCTTTGCATTTCAAATGATTCCGAAATTGGACATCGCTCGAAATGTCGACCCCAAGTATCTCGATACTCTCGGAAGGTTGCGGGTATACTCCTTGGAATCGCGGCGCCATGACAAAGGGGGCCTTCTTCGCAGTGAACGCGCAACCTTATGTCTTCAACGGGTTGAATTGAACTGGGTTCAATCAAAATCAAACCCCATTCGGAGATTAGCCCCAGAGAGTTCTCGACTTTAGATACAAGTTTTGATCGTCTCTCCTGCACCACGCTCCAAGAGAGACTCTGATGGCTGATATATCGCGTATCCTCCGTGCTATTATCCGCATAGCAATGCCATCAATAGACAGCATGTCATTGATATACAGGATAAAAATCGTGAGGGAGAGCACCGAGCCTTGTGGAACGTCAGCGTTAATGGTCATAGGAGCTTCGTAAAAGAACGAAGTGAAGTAAGGTGAGGTATTCGTTCCTTGCATTGCCGTCAAGAAGATCAGCGTCGGTGTCTTTCAGTCGATGTACTAATGGGCCAGGCAACGCAAAGTATGTAGGTAGGACCGGTACACAAAGAACGAATCGCGCTTTTTCACTTTGGTCTTTTATGTACAACTAGCCCAAGCACAAGTTGGGAAGAATCCAACTCGAGTAAGCTCGTGTTAAACAAGCACGATTCGAGTTGAGTCGAGTTGATCGTCGCTATCTTGACACTTGACAGTTAATTTTGACAGCTACATGGTGCATAGTCGAAAAAAACAATGTGTGAGAGTTAAAGTAAAAATATGACGAAGTCAAAAAGTTGATGGATTTTTGTTATTTTACTTAGTTACTTAGTTATAGTAAGAATTTCAAAAAAAAATCTTCCTTCAAGAAACCACCATGAACCAGGTAGAAAAAAGAATAGTGCGCTCAGAAAAGGAGACAATACATTCTGGGCATTTCATGATATCACAATTTGAAGCAGAAGCTCAAGATGATTATGACGACTTGGTAACCGTTCCTGACGAAGAACAAAATACTCCGAAAGTGTCTGTAGTTGCCACATATACAGTGCCTGCATCAAAAGTACCATTTCCACCAAATGAAAAGGAAGAACATAAACAGCATCAGCAACTTTCCATCGAAGTTTCCCTCACTAAGTTATTTAAATGTATGACTTTAGCATATAGGTAAGTTATTTGAGTTCTATGTTAATAAATTTTGGTATCCCCGTTTTATCTGAGATATACAAAAATGAGAAGCAAAATGTTTAGTGACAACAATATAGTATATTGGAATCTTCTTTGTTCCAATAAAAGAAACTGCTATGGAGGTAAAATAATTTATTTGATAATTAGTTCAATAAATTTAGCGTACTTGATCAATTAATTGTCTTAATTTAAAAATACATAAATAATATTGAAAATATAAATTTTTGCATCTACTGGATACTCTGACAATTATTTTAAATGCAATTATTTTCTTAATGTTCCTATTGAATGTAGCAATTACTACATAAAGTAAAATTAGTAATAATTGGTTAATTGTTTTTTTATTATTATTTTGACATTGTAATTGCTTCTTATAATAAGGAAACTGTATAATTCCATTGGCTTTGGCAAGTGCAGATAAGAAAAGGTCATCATAGTCTGTACAAAAGACAGGTCATTTGTAGAGATAACTCAATCTATGAACTGCCAATGATTAAAGTTTCCTTATTCCACAAATTTATTTTTAAAATTATTTTGTAACATTTCAAAATGTCAAAATACAAGAGTAACCAAGTGTAAAAGAGTAACAAAGCTTTTACTAAAAATTCTAAAGCAAAAATTAAAATAATAAAATAAAACTATTAATAATTTGTAAAATGACGTATTCTAAGCAGCTTTGATTTAATAATTAATTATCATAAAGTTTTCATTAAAGTTCATTGATTTGAATTATATTTTTGAATACGCAGAATCTAATTCCGCTCAACAGTTAAGTCTTATTGCACATTTGGTTATCAGTAAAATTAAAATATTGAATTGACACTTTGATAACAAATCTGATCAAGGATAAACAGAAGATTGCTATAAAATCTGTAAATAAACCAACAAAGTACATAGGTTTGTACTGATCCATTTTTTTATTTGTATTTTGGGAACTACAAACACTATTTCACAAAAATATTTATTATTTTAATAAATGGAGTTTGTTGAAGTATTATAAAATGGCCACAGTTTCAAAATGCATCTGAATATTGGTGTGAAATTAAATTGCAAATAGTTCTAGGATGTAATCATTAAAGAAAACAATACCATTCATGCTAGTTTTGCAGCTTTTAATTAACATATTTCTAAATGTCATGATGATAAAAATGTAAAAAACTTAATTCAAAATTATTAATAGTTCTTCAGAGAAAGTCTCAGTTACATTAACATTCAGTAACACAGTGTGCTGTTGCTGGCTGTAGCCAGTTTTTTATAATGTACATTGGGGTGCTAATGTACATTGAAATGTTTGAATAATTATATTATAGAATGGAAGAGATTTTTCTCATTTAGTTGTAGAAACAAAAAAAGTTTCAGATTTCTATTGATTTATATGGGATAACGGGCTAGGTAGGACAGACAACCTACACACATAATGTGTTGCATCTGAATCTTTTGAAACTGAAATACACACAAATTAGCGATTGGGCAACAGCAAACCAAGTTGTTGTGTAAATAGGAATTTCTCATATGGGAAGGCAAGATGGATGACGAACATAGTCACACAAGTTAGGTTTGTTTATTTCTAAAACTTCTGCTCATGATACAATATACATGTAGATATGTTGCAAAGTTTTCCTTTATACATACATTGCAAACATTGAGCATAATAATATGAGGTATGGATGCACAATTATTTATGTCACTATGTGTGTTCAATCTGTCTCATTTAGTGAAAAAGTTGTAAAATAAGTGAAAACTTGGTATATTTACCATTTGGCTTATATTTGTTCTAGTAGTAACAGTAGATAAGATAGTCTAAGTTTATTCCTTATCAAAATGTTATTTACAACGAGCTTAAGATCAGATATTGATAGTGACACTGATAACTGGTTTAACATTTTGATTGTCTGACAATACTACTTACAGTACAGCAAAAATTATCACAGTGTCTGTACTTTAAAGTAAAGCATCCATTTTTTTATTAAAATAGAATAATGCATATTTTAAATTTTTTCTCAATGAAAATGTATCTTGTGAACTCAAGAAACTTTGTAGTAAACTTGTCTATGAGAGTACCACTGATCAGCATTAACTTGTGATGAATAAACTGAGGATTGTAATGGTAAGTTTCAGTTAGATTGTTTAAATGTTGCTTACAGACAAAAACTAACCTCACCAAAATGGAATCGTTTCAAAGGTATAAAACTACGTTGGAAGGACAAAATCAGGTTGAACAACGTCATATGGAGATGCTGGCACATGCAATGTAAGTAATAATGCAAGTTTTATTAACAAATAGTTACATGTTAGACACTCAATAGCTTAGTTACTACTCAAATAAGTGTGTTATTTAAGGAACACAGATGTTCGAGACGCAATGCGTTTCAGCTTATTTCAAATAAAGATGTCATGTGTTTTCTTCTGACATTTTTTTTTCACATAATAAGGTTATCGTAGCAATAGCTGTTTGCCTACAAAAATCGCGTTGGTTGATTGAAGATTTTTTAAATTGCGTAGTTAAGTGTACCAGCTCTCACACGTCTTGGCTTCCATTAAGGCATTAACAATGCAGTCTAGCGATTAACCGTTCTCTCAATAGTAAAACCTTTCGCATAAAGTTCCTTCATCGTAGACGTAGGTCGTTTATGAATCCATTTTACGAATAAAAAAAGAATTGAATTTTTCAATCGTTTTCAGAGTTTACCACAATATAAAATATTATGTTGGTTTTGATCACTTATTAGTTAAATCTGAATTGGACTTGTTCATTGCATTTTTTAGAAACTTAAAGACGTCCAATTGATGATGTTGAAAAACCTGCACA